GGCACGGCTGTGCAATCCTAATTGACTCAAAAAACAACACCTTGCGTGTCTTTGCCCACGAAATGTTCGTGGAGCTCCCCCGGGAAAAACACACACAAATCTACCGTGTTTCATTCTACTGCAGAGCAAACCTTTGAGTCCAGGGGGCCTGTGCTCCAGCAGCGAAGTCTTATTCGGCCACGAGGTTCCATAACCACAAGAGCAACACTTACAAGCTTGGAAACCATTGCGGCTTAACCGCTGAAGCTCTGTCTTGGGACAAGTCTTAAAACTAGCTGGTTTTTCTATCACACGCTGTGCTTTGGCACGGGCAGCAGTCTGGGGGCGTCCCGGGACGCCCGCAGACTTGGGGCGAGACTTGGGGCGTCCGCTTGGGGGCCTCTGAGGCCGTGCTGGGGCGAGACTTGGGGCGTCTAGGCCCGTTTTGGGGCGTCTGGAAACTGAAAACACGGAAACGCTGAAATCAAGCAAAAACCTTAGGTAAATCATGGAATGTTGCCTCTTGGGAGGCCTCTTGGAGGCTTCTTGGGGCGTGTTGAAGGTTCCTTGGGCCGCCCGGGAACCATCGTGGGCGTCTTGGAGCGGGATTTTGGTGAGTCTCGGCCCTCTTAAAGCGTTCGGGGCCTCTGGGAGCCCTGGTGTTCTGTCTTGGGACTGTCTTGGGCCGCGCAGGGGCGTCCCCAGAGGCCCCGTCCCCCCATGCCCTGGGGAGGTCCCTGGCCACGGCTAGGGGGCCTCGTCCCCTGGTAGGTGCGCATATATATATGTGAATCTATATATGTGAATACATATATATATATATATATATATATTCATATATATGTATATATGTATATGTATATATATATATATATATATTCATATATACATACATGTGTGTCCCCAGCCTCTGACTGCAGTGGTGCTTCGCCCCGTGCGCCGCTGTCCTTCACGTCTCACATGAAAGCATAACGAGAGAGAGGTCGGCCAATCAAAACCACGATCGCTCTTGGTTGTAAGTTTCGCCTTTATACACCGTTGTCATATTGTTCTCCATGCTCCTTCCCTCACGTGTCCTCTTCCTCTTTCTCACTCTCGCTCCCATTGCCCCGGGAGCACTTCCCCGTCTCCCTCTGATTTGTTATCGGGAGGCTCCTCCGAGGTGAGTTTCTGGAGGACCGCGCGACAATTTTGGAGGGGCCCTGGGGCACACAAATAAATACACACAAATAACAATCAGAGTGAGGGGGCCGAACGGTCATTCACTGTCCCTGGGTGCGTGGCTGAAGTGGAATTGCGCGGTGCGGATTCTTGTTGTTGTTTGATGTTGTTGTTGTTGTTGTTGTTCTTGTTGTTGCTACTGCTGTTGTTGTTGTTGTTGTTGTTGTTGTTGTTGTTGTTGATGTTGATGTTGTTGTTGTTGTTGTTGTTGTTGTTGTTGTTGTTGTTGTTGTTGTTGTTGTTGTTGTTGTTGTTGTTGTTGTTTGTTGTCGTCGCCCCACCCGCAACCCAACCCGCGACCAACCCGCGACCCAACCCGCGACCCAACCCGCGACCCACCCGCGACCCACCCGCGACCCACCCCGCGACCCACCAAGTGTTTTCGAGCTGTGAGCCGTGAGTCTCCAGGCGGATGTAGAAGCCTCAACCCCACGCTGCTCAGCCTCGTGTGTGGAGATGACCACAGAGGTCACAAGCTCCATGTGTCCTGGTTGCAAGGATCAGGCTTCCAGTAATTTGGCGCACGGCTTGTGGAAGTTTTGCGACCACCAAAGCAGGACCTAAACTTCTGGGAAACCGTCACCCTGCTCGCAAGTGTAGTGAGCGGCGGAAACTTTTCAAAGGTGTGCTTCCTGGGACGGGTCTGCGTTTGAGGCTCCCGCCTGAGCCACTCTCCTGTCTAGGGGGGTATAATGGCGCGGGGTCAGGGTCAGACTGATCCCAGGCTGCCGCCTTACCGCCCTGGCATGTGTGCTTGCATGCTGACCAGGTAGGAACTGAGAACTGAGAACTGAGAGGATGTAAGGAGAATGTGGAGAAAGAGGACGAGGAGGAGGGGGAGGAGGGGGAGGAGGGAGAGGAGGATGATGATGGACAATGGGAGGACGATGATGGAGGCCGATGAGGGGTAGGACGACAATGGGAGGACGATGATGAAAGGACGAGGGAGGGAGAGGGAGGATGAGGAAAAAAGAGGAGGAGGAGGACGAGGTGGAGGAGGAGGATGACGATGAGGACGAGGTCGAGGACGAGGAAGAGGAGGAGGAGGAGGAGGAGGAGGAGGACGAGGAGGAGGAGGAGGAGGAGGAGAGCGCCATCGACAGGGAAAGTGGGGGCCACCAGGTCCCATGGCTCGACGACGCCCGCGTCGCCCGCGCCCGCCCCCTTATCCGCAATTGCGGGGTGCTACGTACTCCCAGTATTTTCACATGTTTTCTCGGTTCTTGTCTTCCCCCCCACTTCCCATAGTTTCCCATAGTTTCTGGGAAATCGACGATTCATTGTGTCTGTGTGTTTTTTCCCCTCCTGAAATTTCTTGTGGGCTCCTGGGGCGCCTTTTGGAGACGTATCCGGCGCCCTCTGGCGGCCTCCTTCGGGGGGCCCCTCGGGCCGCCACGCCGCGACCCGTGGTCTCGGTCCACGGCTCGAGGAGGAGGAGGAGGAGGAGGAGGAGGAAGAGGAGGAGGAGGAGGAGGAGGAGGAGAAACTGCCCAAAGGGGCCCCGAAACGGCCCAGGAGAGCCCCAGGACGGCCCTCGGAGGCCCCGGCCTGCCGTCGCTCGGACGTCCACTTCTTTCCGTGCATCTGTCGGTGTCGTGCGTGTTTTTTGTGCTCGATGGTGCAGGATGGTCCTCGATGGTTCTCGCTGGAAAAAATGCACACGTCCGAGCGATGCCAGGCCAGGACGGCCTAGAAAAGCCCCCAAAACGTCCTCCGAAGACGCCAAGCGGGTCAAGAGCGCCTGGAATACGGCCTCCCCCCCTACCGCGCTGGAATTTTACACCTTCTGTAGACACCTGGATTTTTGTTGGCAACATGTTCCTCTCCATGGATCGTCCTCCACAACCCTAAGAGGAATACTAACGGCCATCGGGAAAACCCACAAACGCGTACCCTACACATCCCAAACGCGCACCCTGCGAAGCGAGAGGAACCCACAGATCGAGGACAGGACACGCGGAGTAGTACGCCATTTCCTCCTTCTCCTCCTCCTCCTCCTCCTCCTCCTCCTCCGACTCCTCCTCCTCCTTCCTCTCCACGGATCGAGGACAGGACACGCGGAGCACTACGGCCGAGTGTCTCCTCACATCTGGCGACGGAGCGCGCCCGTTCTGCACAGAGGCGGGCCCTGACGCCGATCCACGCGCCCTTGTGAATTGTTGTTGTTTTTCCCCACATCCAAAGTGGATCTCTTGGTTTCTCTGGACACCCCGCGCAGGAACAGGAACCCACCATCATCATCATCACTCATTCCTCACTCACTCACTCACTCATCATCCCTCACACACTCACTCACTCACTCACTCACTCACTCACTGACTCATCAGCACTCACATAAGATGATGATAAGTGTGCGCGCGTGAGAGAGTGTGATGATGATCATCATCATCATCATCATCATCATCATCATCATCATCATCATCACCAGGCAGTCAGTCAGTCACTCACTCACTCACTCACTCACTCACTCGCCTTGGGCCTCGTCTGTGAGTGAATTGCGAGGAAGTCTCAAGCGGGAGCCCCCTCCCTATGGGGCCCGCGGATCATGTTACTAATCCGAGCGGGTCATCCAATTCCTGTAACTGTCGCCACTTTTGGGCTCTCGCGCTGCCAGAACGCCATTCCCAGGCCACATCTGTGAGTGAATTGCGAGGACGTCGCAAGCGGGAGCCCCCTCCCTATGGGGCCCGCGGATCATGTCACTAATCCGAGCGGGTCATCCAGTTCCTGTAACTGTCGCCACTTTTGGGCTCTCGCGCTGCCAGAACGCCATTCCCAGGCCACATTTGTGGGTGAATTGCAAGGAAATCTCAAGCGGGAGCCCCCTCCCTATGGGGCCCGCGGATCATGTTACTAATCCGAGCAGGTCATCCAATTCCTGTAACTGTCGCCACTTTTGGGCCCTCGCGCTGCCAGAACGCCATTCCCAGGCCACATTTTGAATGCCCGGAGCCAGCTGTAGGTCATTTCGTGTTCTTCGTGTTCCCAGAACACCATTCCGGGGCCACTTTCTGCATGTCGGGGGCCAAAACAGGAGGGCGAGGTCGGGGGCAACGTAGGGAGCGGGGGGAGGGCCCGCGCCAGGGCGAGAAGAAATATACGCAGAAGGGACAGCCAGGACGCCTCACCAACCACGAGGACGACGGTGATGGTTTTTTCCAGATTCGCCCAGAGGATTCTCATGTGGGGTCCTTCTGTCGGGGTAATTTTTATTTTGTTCCGGCGTCTCAACATTGGGCGAAACGAAAAGCGCTCCTTCTTCAGGACCCCGACTGCATCACATGGTATACAGCCGCATCGCATTCGAATCCCCAGGCGATGTCGCAGCAAACGGCAGCCACAGCGTTCATGGTGAACGTTTGTTACTCGGCGGTTCGACACTGGCTAGAAGGTTTCGGGGGGAGGGGGGGGGGTCTGGCTTGGGATCTCTACTTCATGCGCCTGTTGGCAACAGCGCGCCCCATAGGGGGGAGACGCCCCAAACAGCCAAGATATACAGTCGGACTCGATTGGACAGGAAACGCGAGAGGAGACAATACCCTTCCGAGGGCCACATTGCCACAGGAATGTAGGAAGCATGGGTCGCGAGACACAGGACAGAAGGGTACCAATGATTTGGCAGGGTCGACCTACTAATCTGGGCCGACTGCACTCCAGGGGGGGGGAGAGGGGAGGGGTTGGGGGCCCGCGCCGATCGGCAAACCAAGGAATAGCCGAAACGATCACTATCCAAGTTTGTGTTTCCTCGACCGTTCGGATCGAGTACGGGCCCAGCCCTGGCCCGCCCCCCCTTGGCTGTCCACACGCGGACGGTGTTGGACAGCACCATGTGGGCCATGCGCGCTTCGTGGATCTGCGCCAGCGCCTTGGCCTTCGCGGCCTTCTGGCGGCTCTTGGTGAGGTGGTCTCCTGGCGCACGGACCCGCCGGAGGAGGGCGAAAAAAGAGGGGGACAGGGGGGGAAATGGAGGAGGGGGAGGACAACAAGAGTGGGGAAGGGGGAGGAGGAAAGGGGAAAGGAGGTCAGGATGAGCGCGCTTCTCTATTTTCGGCGACGACGGGCGTCATGGGGGGGGGCGGAGGGGGGGTATGGCGTAAGACCCCCCCCCGCCGCGCGGCTCCAGCACCAGAGACGCGCCCTCGCGCACGACGCGACGACCGACGACGACGACGACGACGCGAGCAGCATGTAGGTGGCGATCTGCCCCACTGCGCTTGCGTACACCACAAAGCTCGCGTGCACTACAGCGCGCGTGTACACCACAGCGCGTGCGCACACCGCAACAACTGCGTGCACCGCAGCGCCTGTGTACACCACAACGTTCGCGTACACTACAGCGCCGGTGTACACCACAGCGCACGTGTACACCGAAGCAACCATGTGCAACACAGCGCCTGCGTACACCACAATACTTGTGTGCACCGCAGCGCCTGTGCACACCACAACGCTCGTCTACACCACAGCATCCACGTGCAACGCAGCGCTGGTGCACGCCACAGTGCCTGCGCGCATAGGACAAATGCAAAAGGCATGTACGTGAGGATTTGGTGCGGACAGCTAAGCGCCACGCCAGGGAAGTGCTGACAATCGAATGCAGCGTTTTTCCCACCTCCTCCTACTCCACCTCCACCTCCTCCTCCTCTTTTTCCTTTACCTCCTCCTCCTCCTCCTCCTCCTCCTCCTCCCTCGCCCTTCCACCCTGTCGTGCGGGTCGGCGCTACACCGCACGTGCGCATCTCAACGCGCACAGCAGAATGGTCCGTTGAATCGGCCAACTTGGTTCTCGGACGGCCAATTTAGCTGGAACTTCCTGGACGCAGATGGGAGGACATAGGATGGTGCGGGCGGACCCGTGGGGGCTCGTAGATTGCAGCGGCGCTGATTTGTCCATAAAGATTCCTTTCTATTGTTTTCTGTGGCATCCACAAGCGCCCCATTTTGTCATAAGGACTCCTTCCAACATTATATACCCAACAGTGGTGCTGCGTTGCAGACGGTTGCCGCGGTGCACACAGACACCACGGTGTACACAGGCACTGCATTGCAAGCAGGCGCTGTGGTGTGCAATGGTGCTGTCTTGAACACGAATGATGTGGTTTACGCAGGCGCTGCGGTGTACTCAAGCGCTGTTGCGCCCGCAGGCACACTGGCACAACCTGGCGTTGTGTTGCACGCGGCTGCTGTGGCATAAGGGGGCGTGGTGTACACAGGCGTTGTGGTGCAGATCGCCACCTACATGCTGGTGCTACTCGTCCTCCGCCATGCCGACGCATTCCCAGACGCCGCCAGCGCGAAACGTGACGTCATCGGCCCCCTCCACCCCCCAGGTGATTTCCGTCATCGGCCCGGAATATTAAGAACAGGCTCCAGCCGCGTCCGCGCGCACGACGACGATGAGCGACTAGCCACGAACCACGAGCGACAACGACGACGACCGACGACGACGACGACGACAACGACGACGACGACTGCGGACCAGCGTCCTTTTCGGATTCCTATGAGGATACCAATGCGGATCCCAGTGCGCACGGCGGCAGTGCCCCGAGCGCACTGGGGAGGATGCGTTACGTCATGGGGGGGGGGCAGCGGGGGCCATAACGCCCATCATGCCCCAAGCAATAAGGAAACGCGCTTGACATGGACGGGGGGGGGAAAGGGGGAGGAAGGGGGAAACGGGGGAGCAGCATGGCGAGGCAGCCTGGCGGCACTCGGTAAGCGCTTCTTACTTGTACGACAACACGTGTGCACATAAATGTATACCATTTAATAATTTGCGTTGGCAGAAGCAGCTCAAAGGAAAGTGTCCTACACAGTCAGGCGAGACTAACTTCAGCAAGCTTGCTGATTACTAAATGCGTGCTGCTCGACCCATCGGATGGGCTTGCCACTGCTTGTCAACAACTGTCAAGACTGGGCAAAGGGTGTCACCTGACTAGTGTGTCAAGGGATGTCAGGCCATGCCACGGGCCGTCAAAGGTTGTCACAACTCGTCAAGCTGCATGCAGCCTCGGCAAAGGCGGTCATGCGCGGCGAATCGATCTGTCAAGGGTCGCCAAAGGTTATCCATAACTGACAATGCGCAACAGCAGCTGACAAGCAATCGTGTGACAACGAAGCACAACAACACTGCAGAAACCGCAATACCAATTCCAGCTGCGCCACAAACCTCCCGCACCTGCGGGCACCCGCAACCATTTGACAAGGGGTACCGCCAACGCGCCTAGGAGTGACGCGCGCCTTCTTCTAGGGTGCCCTTGCGTCCTTGCCTCTGCGGCCCGCCCTTTGCCGTTTTCACTGGTCGTTCTTTACCCAAGAATCCCAACTTCGGCCTCCAAGGGTCTTGCGTCCTTACCAACCGTCCTTGATACACGTGTTCACAGTACGGCACCATGCGCGCCTCACATCCTGGCGGAGCCAGACTGCGCAAACCCGCGGAGCGCCAAGGATGCAACGGAGCCAGGAGCGGGAGGGCGGGGCAACAGCGAAAGCGCCCGCCACGGCGGTGCATCGCAGCGAGACCGACGTCGCGCGAGCCGCCAGACATCAACAGAGCAATCGCACAAACGCGCAGGGCGGCGCGCGCGCTACACTTCTCGCGGGGCGGCTCGCGACGGATGATCGAAAACGGGAGGTGGCCCGCGGACCCGCTTGCCCACCTGCGCGCGTGCCTGACGCGGGCGCGGAATTTGTGCCAACGCGCAAAGCTGCCCTTGGTGCTCATATGTTTGCTCTCGATCTTTTGTGGCCCTCCGGACATTCCAGCTTCCCCAACAAACCCCCCGCACCTATAGGTGCCCGCAGTCATGCGACAATGGGTGCGGCACTCAAGGGGCCGCTTAGCCTGGCGTGTGCCGATTTGCGGGGCGTCAGGGACGCAAATACGCCTAGCTGATGCATGCTGGCGCGCCGCGCGGCGGTGTCGCTCGCGGCGCGCGCGTCCCTCGCGTAACCGGGTTGCGCATGCGGTGGCCCCGCGATGACATGCGCGCATTGACAACCGCAGCCGAGGGCGATCAACGCGCGGCGCCGGGGCCGCCAGCGCTGGTGCGCGTCAAGAATCAGACTCGCCTTCGGGTTCAGCCCAGCGCGCCTTTACTACGGCGCCCCACTCCCATTTCGACATGTCGAAGCATGGCATGAACGCATGCGCGGACCCATCGTCCGCGTGTGAGATCTCGAACCGGGTACCGCTGCTCAGCCGGAGGTCCACGGCATGACCGCAACGAAAATCACGAGTGCGGTAGGGTGCCGCGTCTTCTTTGACGCCGAAGTGGCTGACAGATTGGCGCAGCATGCCCAGAGCCCCGGGCGGCCTGATGCCCGCGAACGGCACGGTGCCATCGGGCAAATATGCGAAGCGGGTGCCGGGCGCATGGGCTGGGCAGGTCGGGGCACAACGAGTGCGCCAGCAAGCCTATTGGAGGTCGGCCCCGACATGTTTGTCATTGCGCCGGGTCAGTTCGACGTGATAATGAGCGTCGCGATAAACAAAAACCACGATGACCTTCGTGCCATGGAGAAGCGCAGCTCAGCCATGGGGATTCCTCAGAAAGACTCGGAGGAAAAACGTAAAAGAAACACGCCAGCAACTATGAATAACTGCACTTAGACGGCGGCGTCGTGCCGCGCGCGCGCGCCAGATTCAACATTGCTTTGACTGTGCCTTCCCGCGTGAGCAAGGGCCCCGAATGAACATAGGCGCCCTGGGCAGGATGACGACTCGCTAGCATAATAGGCACTTGGCGCGGTGGAAGGGCGCGTCGCGAAATACGTCCACGGGGAGACTGCGAATCTGACGCGCGAGGTGAATCGCAAACGTTGGATCGGACAGAACAAGACGGCGACCCGGCGAGTGGCCCATCGGCAGACGAAGACAGCTTGCGGCCGAGAATCGACAGCGCTTCCCGCGCGCTTTGTGGGCCCCGGAAACGGCAGGGCCGCTTTTGTTTACCGCTTCCCTAAAAAATGTCCCTTGAAAATGGAAACGGCAAAAAAACGGCGACCGGAAACGGCAAACAAACGGCACCAAGAGTGGAACCGGAACCAGTCAAAACACGGCGACGGAACCGGTAAAAAAACGGCGTCGGCACCGGGAAAAGAACGGCAGAATAGAATTGGTAAAGAAACGGCCCTGTCGTTTCCAAGGCCCACTAAGCCCGCGCGAGCGAGCAACACCGCCAACCTGCTCTTGAAAGCTGCGATGGACAGCGGGCGTGCACCGAAAACTGCTGCGCGCGTCTTCGGCAGCCGCCGGGCCGCGCTCGCGGGGCCTTCCTTGGGGGCCGCCCCGCCGACCGAAGGCGCGAAGCGCAGCGCGCGGGCCCCCGCTGCACTGCGGCGCGCAGGAGATGCCAGCCCGTGGTCAACCAAAACAGGCGGGGCGCGCGAGTCAACAAATTGCTCATTTGCTCGGGCGGATCGCGGGGGGGCGTAAGACCCGGTACAAGGGACTCGGAAATCCCCGACGAGGTCGTCAAAAAAATGACGAAGCCGAGCCTGCATTTTGACGAGGCCTCCCGCTTCAGACATCCCACGAAACTCCTATTCAACAAAATACGAGTCGCGGTCGTCAAAAAACGATGGCGAACCCGAATCCTGGTAAACGCGGGTCTTGCGCTCCCCCGAGAATCGCGGGGGGGGGCGGCCGCCAAATGGAAACGCGCGGCGGCGGCGGCGGTGATCAGCGGGGACACGCGGCAGACAGCGGAAGGGCGACAGGCGCGGCGCAGACGGCACCGCGTCGGCGGCGGGGGACGGCAGCGCTTCCGCTGCGGCGGGGCGGGGGGGTGGACCAAAGTGGCGAAACACAAGCGTGGGAGAGGAAGCGGGGGAAAGAGGCGCCTCAGCTGGCGGGCCGCGGCGGCATGGCTACGAACACGATGAGGAGGAGAGGGGGAGGAGCGGCAGAGGCAGGCGGAAAAGGCTCTTCCTTCTCTGCTTTCCCCCAGAGCAATGTCCTACGACGACGACGACGACGACGAGGACGACGACGACGACGACGACGACGACGACGATGACGACGGTGGCTGCGGCGGCGGCGGCGGCGACGGAAAAAAACGACGAACTGCAAATGCTCCATGGGTGGGGGGGAGGTGCTGCGCATGCCCGCGGTAGTCGACGAAGACGACGACGTCGACGATGACGACGACGACGACGACGGCGACAGCAGCGGCGGCGACGACGACGAAAACGGCGGACGACGACGCACTGCGGATGCACCGGAAGGGGGGTCCTGCGCTGCGAGTCCCGCTGCAGACGACGACGACGCCGACGCACAGCGGATGCACCGGAAGGAGGGTGCTGCGCTGCGAGTCCCGCTGCAGACGAGGACGCCGACGCCGACGCCGAGGCCGACGCACGACGACGACGACGACGCACGACGACGACGACGACGACGACGAGGACGAGGACGACGACGACGACGACGACACGGGGCAAGGGCGGCAAAAGAGAATAGAGACGGCGAAAAGGACTATGCAACTTTCGAATCGTAAAACTACATGGACAGCGTAATGACACAACAGCTCAAAAAGGGAATTAATGAATAGTTGAAGATCGATGTCTGCTACGTTTGAACATTCACCTGTTTGTTTGTTTCTTTCCTCCTCTCGGTACTAATCCTCTCCGAATGATTGATCATACTCTGATTTTGATGAAAGCAGTACTCTGCTCCGCGCTCTGCGAAAAACGTCGGGGAATTCGGCAAGCGCCCACCGCCGAATGGCCCGCGGATCTGTTCGATGCGTCGGGCAAGCACATCCCGAACGTGGCAACCAAGGGAGACGTGGCCAAAAGGGGACCTACTCCCTCCCCATCTGCAAAAATAAAACGACTCCTCCTGTCCCACAAACCCCCCGACTATTTGATAGACCCGAACGTCCAGAAACACAAGAAGAACAACCGTGAACGCCCGAAAACATAGATCCTCGATAAGTGTGCCGCTACAGCTGTCTCACTGACGGCGGCATTGCGCTCCCGTCCCCAGCAGCTCCTGCGAACACGCTCCGGTTCTGCGAGATCCAGACGTTGCCCTGCGGGGGCCCCACCCTGCGATGAGGAACTTGCTTGCCCTGATGCTGGGGAGCTGGGGCGTGCTTAGCGTGGTGGTCCAGACCTAAAGCGTGACAAGCTGAGCAAACGTCCTTGACCGTATCATCACTCTTTTTCTCCGGCATGCTGTTCGGCGCACCCGAACCCGTCGTCTTCCTCTTCCTCCTCTTCTTCCTCCTCCTCCTCCTCCTCCATTTCTGATTCTTCCTCCCTCTCCACCAACGACAACGGCGAGAACAGAACCGCAAAAACTGGCCGAACCGACAGCGAAACCGAAACCGACACACCGGAGCACCAACCAACCGAACCGAACCGACCGAATGCAGTCGACTGCGAAGCAGCCGAACCCTCCTCCTCCTCCCTCGTCCTCGTCCTTCCTCCTCCTCCTCGTCCTCGTTATCCCCCTCCTCGTCCTCCTCTTCGTCCTCCTCCTCGTCCTCCTCCTCCCCCTCCTGCTCCTCCTCCTCCTCCTCTCCTTGCCTCCGCGGGTCGCGCCGCAGGCGCAAGCCGGTCCAAAGGAAGCCGCACCAGGGCGGTCAAAATCCTTTGGCTCACGCCCAAGACCTCCTCCTCCTCCTCTTCTGATTTCTCCGCCTCCTCTTCCTCCTCCTCCTCCTCCTCCTCCTCCTCCTCCTCCTCCTCCTCTCCTCGTCCCCCAGACTGCCTCCGCCGTCGTCTTCGTCGTCGTTCGTGGTGGCCGCCTGCTTTCCCGTGTGCCTGCGCCTTTCGATCCCCGGCGCGTGCGCGCGCGGGGCCCACACAGATTCCGACAGATCATCGATCATCGCCCTTCCGACTTGCCTCCCCCGACGAGGCACACGCCAGCATGGATTCATAATTGCGCCTGCCCTGCAGCCGTGCTGCAGCGGATTTTCGTGGATGTCTGCGTGGATATGTGCCCGAAGCGGCACGAAGCGAACTAAGTGTCGCGCTTTTTCTGTGTGGGTTTCCGCTCCTGGCCAACAGACATCCGCACGAAATTCGAATCGAAATCCGGAACGAGATTCTCAACGGCACCCCAGGCCCACCCCCTCGTTTTCCGAACGAGATGCGCTCTGCGATGTTGGCGCCATGAGAGTAAGGATCCGTGGATTTCGCGGGAGCTAGATCCACCAGTTGGGGAAAACCTGATCAGGCAAGAACGGGAAGCGCTGATGTTGTCCAATGGGATAGCAGGGGGAGAAGAAGAGAAGGATGCTGGCGACGACAAGGCGGCGTATGTCGAGGATGGCAGTGTGGATGACGGGGACGGCAACGAGGGGGACAGAAGGACAACGAGTAGGAAAACCAACGCGAGGACGAGGAAGAGATGGAGGAGGACGAACACGAGGAAGAACGAAGCGGACGAGGAGGATAACAACGAGAATGACGACGACGACGACGAAAAAGGACGGTAAGGTACCCAACGAACAGGACGTCGATGAAATGAGGGGTCCTCGCGATCTTTCGAGGCTCTCTTGTCGGCTGTTGAAGCCGTCTGGGGCTATCATGGGGCATCCTGTGGGCCTCTTGCGGGCCTGTCGGGGTCCTCCTGGGGGCTACGAGGGTGTTCTTAGGCTGTCTGGGCACGTCTTCGGGTTCTACGGGGGCTCTCTCAGGCCATCTTGGCGCCATCTTTGGCTGTCGTGGGCCGTCTTGGGGCCCTCGCTCGGCCGGGCCCTTCACCCCTTCGAAAGCGAACGCCGAATGGCAGGGAAACTCGCCGGGGTCAGCCGGGCGCCTTCCGACAGCGCAGCCTCGCGCGGGCCAAAAACATACAAAAAATGCTGAACTCGCCCCGTGCACCCGCGCCCCCTGCGCAACCCTCGGCGCCGGCAACCCCGGCAGCTGGTCGCAACGCCGAACGGGCGGATGGCCCAGGTCGGAAGCGCGCGCGGCTCCAGGTTGCACGGGGCAGCCCTCTCAGCGCCGCGTCGATCAGACCCTCGCAGGCGAACTCCAGGCTCCTCGAGACCGCGAGCGCGTCGGCGAAATCCCAGAGCGCGCCGAAGGCCATGTCAACGCCCCCAAAAAAGCAGACGGGGATGCCCTGCTCAGCGTAGAAAGCCTTCGCGCGCCCCTGCGCGTCGCCACGGTGCGCTGAGCGAGGCGCTTCAGCAAGGCTCTCGACGTTGATCGACATCGGAATGCGCGCTATACGCGAGCTTCCCATGGGCAGCCTCTTGCGACAGGGGTAGACGAACTCGCAGTCGGGCTCGCCCTGCAGCCCCGGCGGCAGCTGCTGTCGCGCGAGCACTGCCGGCAAGCCTGGCGGGTCCACCCATGGCCGCCACCAGGCGGGCGCATGAACAGACGAGACTCCATTAGACGAATTCGCATCTTGCCAAGTCGAGCACCCCCTCCGAAACACGGACAAGGGAGAGCGCTCCGCCGCCTCCAAGACCATGGTCTTTCCGCGCCTTGACTTCACGCCATGCATAGTTTGCGGGAACGGCGGCGATCAACTTCTTGGGCTCCTCGGGATCTGCACTGGGAACTGTGCTCGCGCTGCTGATTGCTCCTGCGAGCAGCCCAAGAAGCCGCAGTGATCCTCGAGCTCGCGCCAGCCCAGTCCCGTCCACCGCGTTGCTCTCCTCGGCGTAGACCTGGGCCCCGTGCTCCAGCAGGGCAGCCAGCATGTCTGAGGCCCGCTCGGCGGTCACCTCGTCGATCCAGTCAGCGATGAAGCCAGCGTGGACCTGACGTTTGCGGGGGCCCGAATCGGTGATCCCGCCAAGTTCGAGCAATTAACTGATCGCGCGCGCGCCTGTCGCCGAACCCGGCTGGCGATCATCGACAATCCCCTGGGACATCCGAAGGGTAGGTAATTTGATGTGCCCCGCTGCTCCACCTAACCGCTTGAAGTCGCATGTCAGGGTGGGGCAGACTGCTTGCGGCTGCAATCTTCCAGCTTAGATGCGGTTCGGCGCCTCTTGAATCTCGTTGGCATGCCGAAGTGCCGCTCGACGTCTCAACTCCCTCTGCCTGCCCCTGCCCGAGCGAGGGCAACAACGCACGTCGGGCCAGGGCAGCAGCGGCGCTGGAAGCGCAGCGCAACCAGCCAGCATAAACTGACGACGTTCACCCAGTTCACGGAAAGACGCGCACCACGCCACCGCAGAACGCGATGGAGGCGCTGGCAACGCCGTCTCCGCACAGGCGAAGTCGCCTAGGTCATCTCCAGAAATTGGTCGCCAACTTGCCTTCCGTTCACCACGCAGACGTACTGAAGTGGGCTTGTGGGGCGCCTCCGGCGGCCTTGGCGCCCCCGAGGGGGGCTGCGGCCAAAACCCAGCCACGCCCATGGGACCGCGCCTGCAGCGCCGCAGCTCGAGCTCAATGCGCTTCTCGCGCTGGCGTTCCACCTTCAAGTGCGCTGTCGCCCCCGAAATGAGCCAGTTCGGCGGGACGTCGGTCGCCGAGCCTGGCGCCACCGCGGCGCGGAAGCGGGTCGGGCACACGACGTCGCGGGCACAGTTCTCGTAGAGACGTCGGGCGAAAGGTATTGAAGGCCAGGAAAACAACTTCGTATAGAAGGCCAGGCCATTCCTCGACTCGCCGAATGCAAAGTCGACCGCCGTGGCCGTCGCCCAGAGGGCATGCCACTCCTCGCCGCGCTTAGAGCCCACGTGCTGCTGCGTCAACCAGTTCCAAGCCGAGAGCGACCCCGAGGCGCGGATGTTCCTGCAGATCTCGCCTCCCGCCCGCTTGCAATCGGGCGGGAGGCGGTGGGCCCAGCTGTCGACCGTCGCCACGGCGGCCAAGCCCGAACCCACGTAGCCGCCCGTGAACTCACCAGCCTGCGCCTCGAAGCCGCGGGGCACCGTCTGGAGGTCCTCTGCGTCCAGCGCGCCGGCGGGCTGTGCCCCCTGCGTAGCACCTGGCGACCAGCGACGCCCTGACGCCAGGGTCCAAGAACCCGACCTGCTCGCGCTGGAAGACCCTCTGCCGAAACTTGTGGCCCCACCACGGGTCCGCGCTGCTCATTGCCGCTAAGCCCTCCAGCTCGGCGCGGATGTCGGCCGAGCAGGCGGCAGCACCTGCATGCGGGTTCGCCGAAGCGGCGGCCGCCGCGGGCGGCGCGCCCTGGGAGCAACAGCGGCCGCGCCGCCGCGCTGCCCGCCGAGATGGGCCCCTCCACCTCAGCTCCAGCGCCGAAGGCGTGAAAGGCGGAAGGACCGCCGTCGGGCGGACCTTGCTGGCCCAGGGACCAGCACCCAGGCGGCGCGCCCGCTGGCGGGCCGATCCCGGAGGGTGGGGGCGGCGGCAGCGCTGGGCCCCTGGGCTCGGCGTCCGCGGCGGGCAGTTCCGTCATGGGCCGCGGCGCGTCCGTGCCCGCTTTCCCGCCAGGGTTCGAGCGGAGGGCCTCGAGCTGTGCGCGCAGGCGCGCCACCTCCGCCGACTCGCCCCGACTGCTGCAGCGCCAGCCCAGCAAACCGCCGCGCCACAACCCACCCACGGTGCCCACGCAGCCGACGCACGCGGCGCCCGCGAGGCACTGGACTGCCTCACGGCCGCGCGGGTCGCCCCACGCGTGATTCGGGCCGATTGGCGTGACGAGCAGCGCGACGAGGCCCTCAGAGACTGCCCACCACCGGTTGGGCCTCTCTGACGTGAGCACGACGGTCCCATCATCTGACACCGTGTTCGATGCTGCGCTGGGGGCCCAAGCCCCACCGATTTCGTCAGGAAGCAGACACGTCTGGGTAAAGATTGAGCCCCAAAAAACTATGGAGAGATGAATTGGGATCTGCTCTTCACATTGAGTCACACTTCATGCTCCCAGTGTCCAATCATAACAATCGTCATCATCACCACCACCATCATCATAATCAAAAACATAATCAGCATCATCACGATCAGCAGCATCATCAGCATCATCATCAGTATGATCAGCATCATCATCATAATCATCATCATCGTCACCACCACCACCAACACCACAATCGTCATCAGCATCACCGTCATCACCACCATCACAACCACCACAACCATCATCATCACCATCATCACCATCATCATTATCAGCTTCATCATCAGCAGCATCATCACCACCATCATCATCTTCATCACCATCATCCTCACCATCGTCACCTGGATCAGCATCATCAGCATCATCATCACCATTATCAGCATCGTCATCATCATCATCATCGTCATCATCGGCATTATCATCATCATAGTCACCAACAGCAGCATCATCATCGTCTCCATCATCGGCTCAATCACCATCGCCATCATCCTCATCATCATCGTCATCATCAGCATCATCATCATCGTCATCATCGTCATCATCAATATGATGATCAACATCGTCATTATCAGCAGCAGCATCAGCATCATGGCCATCAGCATCAGCATCAACATCAACCTCATCATCATCAGCAGCATCACAAGCAATAGCAGTATGAATCATGAGATTCATCATCAACAGCATCATCATCAGTATCGACAACAACAACACAGTCATCAACATCAACACCATCACCCTCCCCATCGAAAGAACCATCACCATCACCATGGATGAGCACACGTAACCACCCGACATTACGGGTTACATGTGACGGCCTCCAGTGCCCCCTCGCGGGGCACGACAGAATGATGGGCTGGCGCGGTGGCGGGACTTGCCGCAAGCAACTGGATACCTCTCGAAACATGAGGCCCGTGCCGCCTGATATGGCGACGGATCGCGTCGATGTTGCATGAAAGCGAGACCCGTCACTAATCCACGAGCCTTGACCCATGTTTGCGTTTCCTCGACCTGTGCTTGGGAACGGTCTCGCATTCTCCTGCCATCCCCCCGCAACCCAGTGACTCGCGCGCCAAAGCGCTCTGCACTTGTGCCGCCCCCTCCTGCTCTTCCGTCTTCCCCCACTCTCTCTCTCTCTCTCGGATCCTTCTCCTGCTGCTCCTCCTTCGTCCCCTTCCCCCGTGTCGTCGTCGCCACCGCCACCGCTATCGCCATCGACGTTGTTGTCCGCCACCATGCCCCCTGGCGCGTTGAAGCATGGCAGAACGCTGATGACTGGCAGGTTGTTCTGAAAAACTTGAAGGAAAGACCGCCTCCCTGCCTGGACGCACAGTTCCGCGTGTATCTTCCCTCCCGAGGCTTCCTGGACGGCGCGGAACTTCATTGGGGCTCCACAGAGCTGTTCAACGCGCGCAAGACTGCCAAGGAAGGCAACCAAGGCAGCACATTCTGGGCCACTAGGTATGGCCTCAAGAGGCTCCTGACAGCCCTCAAGAAGAATTCATGATGAAACACCAACAACGCCCCAAGAAACTTCGGAGGCACGAAAGGCTGGACCAAGAGGCCCTTGGGGAAGGCAAACATCTTTCCAGCACACATGTAAGCCATACAGTGTGTTCGTGTGTGCGAGTTCGGGGGCCTCTCGGCTCCAGATGGCTTCACGAGGGCCTCGGATGGGCCCGAGGAGGACACCGAGAAGCCCATCGCACAAGATCGCATCGAGACTGCTCCAGAAGGCTCCACGATGTCTCCCAAAAGACCCCCCACACGGCCGAGAGGGAGCCCCGGGACGGCACACGAAGACGGCCCCAGGAGAGCCGCAGGACGGGCCGAGAGGGCCGCGCAGAGGCCGAAGGCAGCCTCAAGACGGCCTAGGGCCTGGGTAGCCCCCATGGAAGCCTTGAAGGAATGGAGACGAGGGTGGGTGGTCACATGGTGCAGCCTTCTGGGCGATGCTCGAAGCGTCACCACAACGAGCGCTGCACTCACAGTGGCGAGACTTGCCGCAGACAGCTGGATACCGTCCCTCTTCGCCCTCGTTCTCAGCGTGATGTCCGTTCCCTCCGTCGATCAGGCCACTCAGCATCCCAACTAAGACTCACTGATCTCTCTCCTGCCTCCTCCCACCTGCCCGTCGCCGGGAGCTGCCGAGAGCAGCACAGCCAATGCGCAGGAGGGAGGCGCGGAGCTGCGAGGGCAGCACAGAAGAGGGTACCCAGGCGACCGCGAGAGGTAGGCCGAAGCGAGGGCCGAGCACGGAGGAGGGCGCGAAGGGGCGGCACGGGAGGGCTCGAACGTCTGCCGCCCGACGTCCACACTACACGAGCGCCACGGCGTGGAGCATCGGGCGGGCGACAGAAACAGCACTTCTGCACCCCAGGACAGGGCTGAACCTAGACGACGTTGTTCGTTTTCGTTTCATTTTCGTGTTCCTTCGTCCTGTCTTCAGTCCGCCTTCACCGCAAAACGAAGTCGAAACGGAAACGGCCTACGAAATCGCAAAAACACCGTTTAGGTCCAGCCCTGCCCCAGGATACACCAAGGAGGCGATGACCATCCGACCCGTGCGCTTGGATCGCTCTAGTGCAGGGCGAGGAGACACATGCTCACAAGATTCGACAGCCCCGATGCCCCTCCCCTTCCATGCGGAGCAGGTAAACCGTCTCGTTGTGCTCTCCTGGGGGAAAGATAAACCTATAAACCTAAATTGTCAGAGGTCTGTGCAGATTTATTGGATCTGCGCTGGAGCCCCCTCTATCACGCGCGGATCGCGCCAGGGGCGGCGCTGGAGGTGCCGCCAAGGGAGGCACAGACCGGCGAAATCCGCGCGGATCTCCGAACGTTCCCGAAACAACTCGTCTGTAAAAGGTTACGTATGCAGCTTTGCATAGTTCGTCTTACGCCCTGTGAGGAATGCTGGGCCCCCGATGTCGGTGGTCACTCGTGGCCCCCAATGGCGCAAGCATCCGAAATAAATGGCACGTAGCGGCCCCCCCACGGCCCCCCATCGTTGACCCCCCATCGTGGTCCCCCATCCTGGGCCCCTCTCTTGGCCCGCGTCCCTTCGTAAAGCTGGTCAGAAAGTTCTGACGCAAGGGTCTCATCGATGTGTTCAGTCGGGCTCGATTGCAGAGGACACGCGAGAGGACACAAGACCCTTCCAACGGCCACGCTGCCCCAGGAATGCACGGGACGCGGAACGCGAAACGCAGGACAGAAGGGGACCCCTGATCTGGAAGCACCGACCTGCGAATCAACTCCGACCGCATAGGCAGAGCTTGCTCTTCCGATCTCCGCTGTGGAAGAGGAAGTCGCCCCTGGAGAGGTTGATGGAGTCCACGATCCCCGCCATCTCCTTCACGACCACGGAGTACCCCCTGGGGCGGCGCGCAGCAGGGGAGGCCCCCACGGCGGGCTTGCGCCCCCGTGCCCGCCGGCGCCCCGCACAGCGGCCCGATGCGGGAGGGCCAAGACCGCCCACGGCGGCCGCGCGACCGGAAACCGACCGATCGAGCGCGCCCGTTGTGTTGCAAGAGGGGGGATCGGGTTTTGAGTTACCGATAATTCCCTGGTTGAGCTTCCCTCTAATTTCCTTATCATTTCCCTGTAGTTCCCAACTTCCAATCATGTCCCTTCAATTTCCCTATAATTCCATATAATTCCCTTATAATTCCCGACTGCTCCAACTAATGATTATGGGCGTCAGTCGTACTCGGTCTTAATGGTTAGCCTACATTCCTATATTACACGTAGAGGGGGTGGGGCTACAGGAAAACCACACCCATGGACCTCAAAGGCCTACAGGAGCCCCGGGGAGCCACGGGAGGAGGCACGGGAGAAGGCACGGGAGTTCGGCATTCGAAGTTCTCGCCTGCTCCAGCTGCTGAGAAGGGCCCTCACCAAGGGGCCTCGTCGAGCCCTCGGGGTCTCCAGGGTCCCGAGGAGATGGCTCGGAAGAGGTGGAGGAAGAGGGGGAGGAGGAGGAGGAGAAGGAGGAGGAGGAGGAGGAGGTCTCGAATTAACGGGAATTACCGTCCAGGCATCTATAGAGGGAAAAAATTCCCGGGAGTTCCCGGGAGGTGGGGCCCAGGAGGCGGGGGCCTTCCCGGTAATTCGTTGTGATTGTTTTTTAATCAGTATAACTATCGGGAAGAATTCCTGGGAGGTGGGGTCCCGGGGGGTCCCCGGGAGGTCCGTGAATTCTGGACGGTAATCCCCGAATCCTTGGACGGTACTCCCCAGCAATGAAAATCATGTGGGGCGAGGGGTGGGGGAGCTCGGGTTGCTCTCCTGCAGTTGCGCCTCGCCGAGAGCCTTCCAGAGGCGCCGGAGTCGCCTCGGACGGCCGCCCGAGGCCCGAGGAGGATCCAGGCCCCGCCCCCCTCGGGCGCCAGGCTGACGAGTCCCTCGAGACCGAGCTTGACAGAGTTATCGACGATATCTCTCCTCCTCCTCCTCCTCCTTCTCCTCCTCCTCCTCCTCCTCCTCCTCCTCCCCCTCCTCCTTCTCCTCTCCGTCTCCTCATGTATGCGAACGCACCCACTGGGGCCTTGGAATCGAACAATAACATATATATATATATATATATACAGGGAATGCAAGACAATTAACGGGAATACAAAACAATTAACAGGAATACGCGACAAGACAATTAACGGGGAGACATGGGAATTAACGGGAAAACGAGACAATTGAAAGGAATACGAGACAATGAACGGGAAGAATTAACGGGAAGGGAAGAATTAAGGGGAAGGGAATTAAAGGGAAATGAAATCAGCTCAAAACCCGATCCCCCCCCCTAGTAACACAACGGGCGCGCTCAACCGACCGAGCGGACGGCGAACCGGAGACCGACCTAACCAGAATCCCCAGATGCCAGATGAGAGAAAATACATGGGATTTTCAAAATATATGATTTTTTGATACATGACTAACCTATGAATCAACGTATGCATGATCTCCTCGTGCAACTGCATGAACATACACTCTCGGAGCTTCTGGCGGATTAACAAAATGTATGCTTTCACGTTTCTTTTTTGCCTCTCGATCCCAGGACGCTCTGGCCGCCACGCAGCGGGGACTGCGCGCTCCGCCGCCGGGCCTCGAGCTATGGCGCGGGGGCGCTCGGGGCGGGGGGCGCAGGGGGTCGGCATTCCGAGTGCGCCAATGGGCTCGCTTCGGCCCCCTGGCAACTAGGGGGAAAACAAACCTACCTCGCTTTTGACCACCCTCGCTTCCAAGAGATACCAAGCGGTGCCAAACTACGGCCTGTACTGGTCGGGCCGCTTGAAGAGGAGGCGCATGGTATGGCTTGGTTTTGCCTGGAAGCGAAAGCGGGGTAGGTAATTCACGCTCTGAGCAACGCAATACATCGCTGGTTGTCAGCAAACGTGCCGGGGGTGATTGTGAAGAGGACGGAACAGCTCTATGTGTGAACAGGAAGAAGAAGAGGAGGCGGAGGCGAGGGCCCAAACCGCCACAGATGCACTCCCTGTCTTCGATATCTGCTCGGGCACGGAATGTAAGCCGCCGGGGACCTATGCGCGCTGGGGTCCCCTGAGCTTAGTGGGCCCTGCAAACGACAGGGCCGTTTTTGTTACCGGTTCCGCTTTGCCGTTTTGTTGCGGGTTACGACGCAGTTTTTTTACCGGTTCCGTCGCCGTTTTTGTTACCGGTTCCGGCCCCAACTCCAGTCCTGGAGCTGTTTTTGTTGCCGTTTCCGGTCGCCGATTTTTTTTGCCGTTTCCATTTTCAAGGGACCTTTTTCGGAAACGGTGAAAAAACTGCCCTGCCGCTTCCGGGGCCCACTCAGCCCCTGAGTATCTCACGCTGCCTTATTGCGTCGCTCACTTCCAGGTTGCCTTGGCCGCCGCGCAGGAAGTGGTGGGCACGGGGGGCTGCGCGCCCCGCCGCCCAACCTCGGGCTGTGGCGCTAGGGCGCGCGGAGCTGGGAGAGCAGCGCCGATGCTCCAACGGTGCCAATCACGTGGCTCGCTCCGGCCCCCCGGCCAAGCTCGCCTTTTCTGCGGTCACCCTTGCGCACCCCCGCTCGCCGCCTCTGCGGCCCCCCTCCCGCGGAATGGATGACCTCTGCAGCCCTGGGATCGTGTTCTATTTCGATGGATTCGCGCAGCACGAGCCTCTTGCCACCGCCCTGCAATGGTGACGCGGCCCAGGGGCCTGGTACACGGCGTGATGGCGCCCCCCTGAGCCCCGAATAGCTTAGCCAGCAACTGATATTCAGCAGCTAAACGGGATGCCGCTCTAGAATATCAGATGGGGCGCTGCAAATCTACCCCTGCCGATGCCGACCGGACGGCGTCAAAGGTTGCTTTGCCTTGTATCATGACATGCTCGGCGTCCCCTGCATGGTTGGTCCCTGCAGCGCTGCCGTCGGTGCTACTTTGATTTCGACTTGGGGCCATGGGCGCAAACTCTGCCGGTCGCAGGAGGCCCAGAAAACCCCTGCGAGGATGAGGGCTGCAAGGTTCGATCTTTCGCGCGCCAACGCGGCGCCGGCAATGGCCCGAACTAACTCCTCGGGCACGAGAAAGGTGCGCTTACACGCCAACAAATTGACCCAGCTCCTCGAGCACCGTCGCGTGGTAGGCAGTGCTGCGCGCCCCCTGGCCAAAAAACGAGCCACGCCACAAGCCCCATCCGCCGCGTGCCCCCGGGGGTCGCCGCCGCGCCATACTCGGGGATGGACAGAACCCCCTTTAGCAAAACGTGGTTTAGTGACAACGACCTGGGGCCCAAACCTGGCGGGCGCAAGCCTGGAAAATGACGGCCGCGGCGCCCTCTCGAGAACCGAAAACGGACAATTCACTAATCCACGTGTCACTGTTGGGGGTTCTGCCCAGCCCCGACATACGTGACCGACGTGCTCAGCCAGCGCATCACTAAACTCCAGCATGGACTGTGGTACAATCGGAACTAGGCCAGAAGAACATCCTAGGGCTCCCAACTTCGCGCTTCGCGCTGCGCGAAGCGCGAAGCGCGAATAACTTCGCGCTCTCGCGCCGCCCTCCCAAAGGGAGAGAAGAGGAGGACGAGGAGGAGGAGGAGAAGGAACGAGGACCGCGAAGCGCGAAGCGCGAATAACTTCGCGCCCTCCTGGGAGCCCTTGGAACACGAGGCCCTCCGTCGGCCAAAACTCACAGAACATCCACGGGTACCCTCCTCGGGTGCACGAGAACATCCAACCAACACGAAGAACATCAGGGTACCCTCCTCGAACCGACCTCGATCTTATACCTCCGTCCGACCATATCCTGATCTGATATGTTCGCAAATTACTGAACGCGACAACAAAGCATCGGCGCACCGTTCCGGCGCCCTGGTTGCGCCGCCCTCTTCTGCGAGGTGTCTGCGCGAGGCCTCTTCGAGAAGCCCCCTTCTCTATCTTGCGCTTGTTGCCCGTGGCCCCGCGGGCGGCTCGCGGGGATAGCGAAAGCCCCTTGAGAGATGGCCCAGGCCCCTGCAGGATCGGCACCCATTGCGAGTTCTCAAGCCACCCAGCGCCGCCCGTGGCGATTGAGTCTTCGGCTTGAGCTCCTCCCTTTGGCGACCGCAGCGCGGGCCGCCCGGCCGTCGAATAAACTGACGAAGCGCAGGGATTGAAAACGTCGGGAACGAGATTCTTGCAAACATGATTGAAGTATGCGACGCGCCCTAAGACGTTGATGTGCTGACGCGCCCTCCACGGGCAAGCCCGCGCCGCCCCCCGCTCCGCGGCGAAAGCCGGGCGCGGGACATTTTGCGCATGCTAGGCGATTTCATAAGCCGCCGAGCAGACGCGGGGGCCTTGGAACCCTGCCCAAGCCGCCATTTCTCGCGAATGGTCGCACCCCTGCCCTGGGCGCGCGCCATTGCGCAGCAGCGCGATCCCCCCCGTTGCCGCTGTCGGCCTTGCCTCGTTACCCCCCTGGCGAGACTGCCCCAGCCGAGCCAAGACCCACCCCCAGCTGACCGACGGGGTCCGGGAAACCCGGGAGCTCCGACGTCGGCGGACGTCGCGGCGAGGGCCTCGACGCACGCGCGTCGATCTTCGTCGGCCGCCCAGGCGCCGCGCTTCGCCGCGCCAGCGAATGCCGCGTGAAGGCGCGCGCTGTCGCGGGGCGGGCATCGCGCCGTCGCCTGCGCCCTGGCGTCGCCGCTCGCCGCGGCGACGCTGGCGCCGAAATACCGCTGCGCTCCTGCAGATCCAGAACTGCCGGGAAATGCCACTGCCAACTGCGCCGCGGCTTGTCGACGACGGCGCAGCGACCGTCGCGCGCCCGCGAAAGGAGGCGCCGAAAGGCCAGAGAGGCCAGTCGGTCGGCAGGCGCGGCGCGCCGACGCGCTGCTTGCCCCGCCCCCCATCGCCCAGAAGGGCCCCCGTTGTCGCGCGCGCGCGTGCGTCGCGAGCGCGGCGAGGCCCGTGCTGCACTGGGCAGGCGCACGCGGAAACACCAGTGGGCATTTCCCAGCCCTGCATCTGAGGGCTCGGCCGCACGCGTTGGTTCCGTGGCGCTTGCTCGATTTGACCCGCCTCGTCATCGAGCGAGGCTGCGATTGGTAACAGTGTGTGTGCGTGCGTGCGTGTGTGTGTGTGTGTGTGTGCGTGTGTTGGCTTGCACTGAATCCTCTGGAATGCCTTGCTTCTCGTCCTCGCCGCCAGGCTTTCTGGTTCCGCGTTGCATCGCCTTGACTCCACGTGCCGTCGCGCTGGCCTGTCGACGCATCTTCTTCTCCTCGTCTCCCCGTCCGCCCAATGTGTGTGTGTGCATGGCATTCGGCACTCTTTACTTGCATCCGTCACCCGCTCTTTGGTCTGACTCCCATCGGCTCACATTCGATGGTAATCAGTCTTAGCGCGCCTCGCTTTTGCTCTCGTGGCACGTGTGGTTTGTTTGCGTTGACACTTCTTCAGCAGCACAGGAAAATATCAATCGGAATCGAATCGGGAACTCGGATCGGATCGGAATTGGCCCAGGATCTGGATGCATCGGCACGGACTCAGCTTCGGATCAAATCGATGTCGTCGACGTCAAATCGGCTAGATCAAAATCGACCCTGCAGAGAAAGAGTGGTGGGGGGGGGGACGGCTCACAGGAGAAGTTCGGTATGAAAGAAGCCTGTTCCAAATTAACAAGAATCGGGCGCGCGCAAACATGGATTAACGATCCATGGATTTGGCGCGCGGTCGCCAAATCCATGGATCGGGGGAGGTGCCCTCCGCGAAATGCGGCCGGAACCGCCTCGTTCGGCGGCGGAAATCCGCGATTTCCTATGGAATCGGGACCCGTCGATAATCCGCGCCCCCTTGATCCATGTTTGCGATCGCCTGAAAGAAGGCCCTGCACCCTGGGCTGTTCACCTCCCAGATGGGGATATGGGCTGTTCCCTTCCGGTTTCGACGAGTCTGTCCCAACTTGGGGGGTGTGATGGTGGGGCTAAGATACCATGGACTGGCGGGACGGCGATTGATAAACGGTACAGAGGGGGGGAGGAGGAGGAGGAGGAGGAGAGGAGGAGGAGGAGGAGGAGGAGGAGGAGGAGGAAAAGCAGGAGGAGGAGGAAGAAGGGACGGCTCAGGCCTGCATTTCACAGCCCCCCGCGCGCCTCATCCACGCCAGGAACGGCACGGAATCGAGGGCCTGCCCGTGGATGTGGTACATCAGCTCGAGGCGCAGCATGGGGGACAGATCCTTTCGGGGAGCCGTGGACGTGAAGGAGACGGATGTCCCAGAGGTTCTCGGCCGTTTTCGGCCCCCTGGGGCCCTCCACGGGCCCCAAGACCGCTAGAATAACGACTAGGAGGAAACGCGAAAAGAGAGAGAGAGAGAGAGAGAGAAATAGAGCGAGAGAGACGATACAAAGATATCCACCTGTGGCCTGCTCCGCGACCCACCCGTGGCCTACCCCGCGACACACCCGCGGCCCGCCGCGCGACGCGCCTGCCAACCCGCCCAAGATCTACCCGCGACCCACCCACATCAGCGTTGTGAAACAGTGCGCCTACAGACACAAGAAACGGGGATGAACAGATCTCCCTTTAATAAAACGTGGTTTAGTGAAGACGACCTGGGGCCCAAATCTGGCGGGCGCACGCCTGGGAAATGACGGCCGTGGCGCCCCCTCGAGAACCGAAAACGGACAATTCACTAATCGACGTGTCACTGTTTGGGGGTTCTGTCCACCCCCGAAAGAAACCGACAACCCAATACAGACTGGTACTTCCGACAGCGCAGAGAGGAACGCAAAGACCTGCAGTTACCCTGACTGCTCAGGTGCACCACTTCCTCGCTGCACGACTCCTGACCTGCGAGCCGCGGCCCCGGTGAACTTGAAAACAAGCCTGCGACGGACATCAGAACATCCGTTGCCGATCCTCGCAAACTGCGGACGGACCCCGTCCCCTCACTCTCATTCGCAACTGCGAGGGCTAACTGTGGTGCACACATGGTTTCCATGATTGTAGCAGTAGCGGTGGCTTTGGACCTACCTTCAGCTTTGACTTTGTTGTTGGAGCGAGGTCAGCGTAGTTTGATCGTTATCATTAGCTTGCGACTGCTGGTGGCAGGGGATGTGTTCGTCGAGACAAGCATCTCACTCACACGCCCACAACATGCAGGCCAGGGTCGACTAAAGCAGAAGGTGCATTAAGACGGGCAGCGGAATGGGCGGTCGATGAGTGAGAAGTACTTTCAGGGCGGCGCGCATACGAAAAGGACCAAACGTGAATGAAACAAATGGAGACTCCAGATGGCGTGCAGCAGAAGCAGCGGCACTTCACGTTAAGAGCAGGCGGCACAGGCGGCGTGACCCGGGCAAGAAGCTCGGTGGAGAGAGCGCACCTTCTTGACGAGTGCCTCCACCTCGTCGTTACCTCCGGTGGCATTCCACACGTACATCAAATGCTGTCTCATGCTGGCACCTGGCCGGGGGTCGCTGCGCTTGCTCCGTGAAGGGACGAGAGGGGAGCAAAGGTCAGAGGGGGACTATCGTAGGGTCCAATCGGGACTGCCTGCGGAGGGCACAGGACCTTACCGAGGGCAGCCCTTGATCCAGGCACGAAGAGGACACGAGGCACGCCACACGGGACAAAGAGGACCGGCTGTTGTAGTAGCTGTTTGCTCGTCTTTGCAATGTTTCGCTGGTGTTCTTCTAGACGCCTCCTAGATGGGGTCGGAGTTGGTGGGGTCGGAGGACCGCGCCGCATCGGCGATACATCGGCGATGCATCGCGGATGCATCGCCGATGCACCAGCAACGTCAGCGATGCACAGGCGACGCCAGCGCAAAGAAAATGGGGCTCCACATCGAGCCGCATCGCCGATGCATCGGCGATGCGGAGCGATCCTCCGACCCCATCCACTCCGACCCCTTCTGGGAGGCCTGGATCCTCGGGCCACGCGCCTCGTCTGTCAGCTCGCGCTCGCGCCTTTCGTGCCACGAGCCAGGTGAAAAGACATCGAATAGCAGGTCCGCAACCCCAGTCGAGGGAGGCGAAGGCCGATGCTGCACTAGCATGAAGGGGCCCTGAGACACACAAATAAATACACACACATAAAAGGATTCCCAATGTTTTCTCATATTTTCTTTGTTTTTGTCTTCCCCCCCACTCCCCATATTTTCCCATATTTTCTGGGGAATCGTAAATTAATTGTGTCTGTGTGTTTTTTCCCCTCCTGAGATGCACTAGCAGCGCGCCCCTGCAGAGCCAGAGCTGGCGGGCCGCGCGGGGCACGGGAAGCAGTCGGGCGGGTGGAGAAGCAGAGGGCGGACGCGGAGGCGAAGGCTGGCGGTACGCACAAGGGGGTGCAGGGAGGGGGGAGGGCTTCCTGGAGGGAGGCTGCTCCTCAGGAGGCGCCAGCCTCACATCTACAGAGAAGGCCCGCGCCTTGTGAGAAGCAGGGGCGCTTCTGGATATGGATAAATTTGCCCCCTAGAGGCTCGATTTTTATCCATATCCAGTGCGCCTCGGCCTTGTGGCGCCGCTTCCAAAAAACGTCCAAGAGGCACTGGATATGGATATGAGTCTTGCACGCAATTTACAGAGAAGGCCCGCGCCTTGTGAGAAGCAGGGGCGCTCCTGAGAAGCCCTCCCCCATCCCCCCCACCCCCCTCTGCGCGTGGCCGATCAAGGGGGAATACGGCGGCAAGGCCGACCAGAATCCTCGGGAGCTGGGCGCGCGCAGGCGGCCTCGGGCACGGGGACCTGCTGCAACAACTCGGGGGAGGTGCGTGAAGCACTGCCCTCGGGGATCTTCTGACCCGGGTCAATCCAGACCTGGGTCAGCAGGAAACCAAAAACTGCAATGCAGGGACAAAAAACTGCAACGCAGGTCTTCGCAAACCCGGGTCAGCCAATATGTGCGGCCGCCTCGCGGCCACGAACGGCGCGCTAATCCGGGTCAGCCAGAGGGGGTCTTCGCAGGATCCTGCAGGATCCGGTGCCGTGGCTGACCCCCGTTTGCATTGACCCCCGTCTCAAGGCTCCCGATGCCCGTCGAAGGGGCCGAGAGCCGGCCATCGCCAGCACACAGGAGGGAGCAAGAGACAGAAGGGGGAAGAGAGAAGGCGAGTGAGGACGGGGTGGGGACACACAGCCGGAGGAACGTCCGCAGACACCCTGGCTCGGACGCTGCCCTGCCAAAGAGCCCAAGAGGGTCCAAGAGTGGCCGACGACGGCCCAAGTCGTTGGAGGCGGCCAAAGAGTGTCTTCAAGAGGGGGAACATGAACTGACATGTCGATCCCTCCGCCCTGAAACGACCCCGGAGTCCCAGAGACCGCCAGGAGGCCCCCAAGAGGCCCAAGAGGCACTCCAGGAGCCCCCCAGAGGCCCGAAAAAGGCCTCAAGAGGACCCCTAGACACACCAAATCACTCCCCATCCGCCTGCAAAAGACTTCCGAGAGGCATCCAGTAGGCAATCAACAGGCATCCAACATGCATCCGACAGGCATCCCATAGGCATCCAATAGCCTTCTGACCTACAACACAGGTGCCATGGCGGGATGGACCGAAGACCCCTAGATTAGCGAGCTTGCAGGAATTTTGAAGGATAATCAAGTTCGACTTAATAGGGTAATGACGAATTCGGCCAAGAGAACGGGATCGGCGACCACTAAAAATCTACAAAGTTGCATGTGCCTATTCCTGGGGAGCCCATTCTTGACCACTAGAATGTGAGTAACTATATCCGCTGCGCATACGCATCACGATCCACATCGAAGGATGTATTGGAAACTCTGAGTAGGTATGGTTTCTGACCGTTGAGATCGCAGGATCCCATTCGCGGTAGTCCTGGTACACATGAAAGGCTCGATCATCGAGTGCTTGAAAATGGCCTGGGACGCTAGAGACTTTGCCCACATATCCGATAACTCTGGCCAACGATGCACTAAATGCCCACCTTTGATCACAGCCGCCGGGCCCTTCTCGAAAAAAGAAACATGATTGTCTGCGGGGCAAGACAAACACATGACTCCTTTGAGTTTTGGGTATTCTGGCTCTGTGAGCGCTCTGACAAACCATTGCCAGGCATTCGTTTGACCCGCAGATGCCGAAACAGACGTGATACTGGCCCGATGTTGAGCGCATTCGTGTTAGCATTCGCGTCGGCTCTGCGATGATGGCATTGGGGAAACATATATCGGCACGGGAAAATGACACGCAAGCAAGCATAGAGACAACGAGACAACGATCCACCACCGTGCACACTGGCACCTTGAGGCGTGGTAGAATGACCAGTACTGCCTGGCAATTGTTTTCCAATCTTATGAGGAACCACGCCCTCTCGAAGCAGACTGCCGCGAGCATCCCTCCCTCCCGAGACAACGGCCCTTCGTTCAAAACTCGATATCCCCGCTCCCGACACGATCCCCCTTATAACAACACATGATCCGCGCTGACGAGGCCAAGATCCGCGTTCCCGAGGACAGAATGCCTCGTACAACGACAACAAGTCCGCGCACGCGAGCCTCCAGGGCGGCCGCGACAGGCAACCGAAGCCGCCAAGATGGCCCAACATGCCGCCAAGGCGGCACGCGATGCCTCCAAGACGGCTTCACGACGGTCATGCGGGCCAACCTAGGATCCCTGGCAGGGTCCGAAGAAAACAGTGGTATTGAGGTCGCACAGGTGTTCGAGAAAGCTCGGTGTCTTCATCTGTTCGGGCTTCCTTGAGTCCCAGACGATGTCCCAAAGCCGGCCCAAAAGGAACCCAAAATGCCCCAGTAATCGTCCAAGACGGCTTCAAAACATACCAAGAGAGCCCCGAGACGGCCAAGGAGGGCCCCACGAAAACCCCAAGCTGACCAACAAGGGCCTCCAAAGGGACACAAGACGACCTTAAAGAGCCAATCGACGGCACAAAACTGCATCCCCAATCCTGAACCTCCGTCTACCGCAGGCCACCAGGAAATTCCAATATTTCGAACACCGAAACCTTAACTAATTGCAACCGACACGCATGAACACCCACTGCGTCCTTCTCCTTCTCCGTCTCCTCCTCACCAATACGACACAGGGCAATTACTCAGGGAGTAATATGATGATGGTGACGATGACGATGATTCGGATGATGATCAGGATGAATTATGATGGTGACGATGATGACGATGATGACGATGATGGTGATGCTGAAGAAGATGCTGATGATGCTGATGATGCTGAGGATGAATACAGAACTGATGACGGCCCAGCATCACTCGCGCACACAAGCTGCGAGGATGTCTTAGGCGAGGCGCTGGTTTCAGCACTCCTCAGAAGGGGGGGCGGCAAGGGGGTCAGTGCACGGGGGGGACAGCAGAGGGGGTATTGCACGGGCCCGTCCGCGCCCAGATTGCGGAGATGCCTCAAGCGGTTTGCCCGTTCGCATGCCAAGCATCCCTTCCGCTTTCGGAACCGATGTTGAGGACGTCTCGGGCGAAGCGCTGGTTTTCGCACACCCACGGGGGGGAGGGGGGGGGCGAGGGGTATCTCACTCCTCCGTTCGCGCCCAATTTGAACATGTCTCGAGCGGCTTGCCTGTTTGCGTGCCCAGCATCCCCTGTTGTCAAGGCAAATGTTGAGGATGTCTCGGGCGAGACGCTGTATATTCGCACACCCATGGGAAGGGGTGGGGCGCCAGGGGGTACCTCACCCCCCCGTTCGCGCCCAGAATGCGGGGATGCCTCGAGCGGGTTGCCTGACAGCGTGCGCGACATATTCCGCGTTCGGAGCAGATGCTGATGCTGTCGCGGGCGCGGCACTGGCTCTCGCACCCCAGACCGCCCACACTGAGAGGATGTCTTGGGCGGTTTGCCTGGTTTGGTGGCCAGGCATGGCTGCGTTCAGAACAACGACGGATGATGTCTCGAGTGAAGCGCTGGCCTCAGCACCGCCAGGGGCTCAGATTGCGAGGGCGTCTCAGGCGGTTTGCCTGCTTTGGTGGCCAAACTCGTCTACGTTCAGAGCAGATTCGGAGGATGTCTCGAGCGAGACGCTGGCTTCAACACTCCCAAGGGGGAGCCGCAAGGTATATGTCACTTCCCCGCCCGCGGACACTGGGGATGTCTCAAACGGTTTGCGTGTTTGGTGGTCAAGGTCTTCCCCTTTTGAAGGCCCCGTGGCCGCCGCGACGAACAAAATTGCACGCATGCGGGCACCTCAAGAGGGCGCAGCCAGGGCGGGGGCACGTGCCAGGGAGGAGGGGGCGAGGGGACGGAGGACGGAGGAGGGAACACAGAGAACGCAGGTGGGGGCGAGAGGGGGGAATGACCGCCACGGAGGAAGAAAAAGGAGGAGGAAGAGGTGGATGATGAGTGCCGGACGAAAAAAGGAAAAACATGTCTCCAGATGCACATCTGGTAACCTTCGCGTCGAGTACATCATCGCACCGCGCGGGGGACGCCCGCACACCCACTCCCTCCTTGCCCTCCTCCTCCTCATCC